TCAGAGCCTAACTTTAACCTTTTGATAACTCTGATTTAGGACCGGTATTGCGTATAGACGCTAACACGCAAACACATACATTCGTGCAAAAGTAGCAGGACAAGTATGAAAGATAATTAGCCAAACCACTCGATGTCCATCTAGGTTTTTAATTTTTAATTTTCTTTTGGCCTAACTGAGTCTATATAAGAGGTAAGATAATGCCGGATAGTCTTCTTTATCCCAGAATTCAACAATGTTAAGTGTAGGCTTCGGATGATCATGCTCCTCATTATTCCAATATTTAGCCTGCAATTGTAATGGGACCGGAAATTAAGTATTATCCCTGCATAGGACTTCTTTCTGAACAATTTCTTTTTGAGCGTCCCGTTAGAACGAATCACTTCAACCTCCAAGAATGGTAACCACTCACCTTCCTCTACTTCCATCGTGAATTAAACTATTTCATCAATTTGATTTAATTCACGATGGAAGTAGAGGAAGGTGAGCAAGGAGTTGATAGCTGGGCCAGGACGAAAAAAGGAATGCTGAATTTTGTACGGTCTCTCGTCGCTGACATCGTCGGGGTCATAAGCCATCATTTATGAAAAAAATATCAGCACAGATTTATCCGAGTCGAAGACCTCTTCATTCAATCCGACGCTTTCCTCGCCACAGCAATCTTGCCTCGTTTTCTGGTGAGGCCGATTCGCGAATTACTTCCAATGAAGTATTCCTTCCAACTGACAAATTATTGCACAATCACAACAAATTTGGGCTAACCAGTCAATAAAACCAATTTGCTTATCCTGCAATATTATTGAAAAAAGGTAGTGTGTGATTTGGTTTATTTATTTATTTTTCAATTTAGATGCTTGTGCTTAGAAACATATAAGAAGAAATAACTAATTTATTCAATGCCCAATAAAAATTGCATACAGTCTATCCATACATGATGTATGGATAGGCTAGTGTTCTTTCTTGACCAGTTTTCTCGAAGCTCTTTTGAAAAGGGTATAGTGTATTGATGCTGCCCGTCAAGTGGCATTGCAGATAAAAGCTCAGCATGTTATCTAATTGAGCAGGAGTTCGAGGACATCAGTAGATCTTCCACAAAACCTTTAGTCCCCCGAAATCAAACCTGAACTCCATTCTGTAGGGAAAATCCTGTTGTGAGGCCTACTCTAATCAGCGTGGCCAAATCTCAGTGCCTTCATTTAAATTGGTTCAAGTGGCCTAGGGTGACTGAAATTGTTAAAATTAATAATGATGAAGAAATGATAAAATTATAAAGAATTAATAATAATCAAGAATTAATGATATTCTCGATAATCACTCCCATCTGGCAGAAGTAAGAAGCGTAAAACACAGCTGACCTAGATCATAAAAAGGATCCCAATTGCCAGCTTCGTCACTGCTATAGATTTGAGCTTGAAAGTCAGAACCCAGGAGACAATGATAGAATTATTTGCATCAATTATTCATGATCTTGGCGACACCCAGTCTCGGAATACTATTGAAACTAATTAGGGTTTACATACACAAAATAGACAATAAGACATATCTAAACATGCGCCAACATTAGAGGATCATAAGGAAAAATCTACTACTGCATCCGCTTTATTTTCGTGAATTAACTTTACCCATTTGAAATTTGTTCGAAGCTATCTGCAATAGTAGGTATGCTAATTCTCATCGTTGTGACGCAGGCTTGGAGATTGTGACCAAACCATATAACATAACATCCTGATCTTCATATCTACTTTTTATTCATATAAATATGTACATATATGTGATATTTTGCATAATTTGCTACTCGTGGCAATGTGGACCAGTGGTTAACGTGTCAATCTCACATGCTGCACTGTCACGGTTCGACTTCCACTGGGGGTGATGCAAGGTCGTTGGATCAAGTCCTTCATCACCTTAAACCGAATAGGGTGAATAAATCCCATGTTACTAATTTACTGGTAGTCTCGATACTATTTAT